TAAAAACGAAAATTAAGGAGCTAAAGTGATGGCTTAGCCTTTAAGAGAATACTGGCTGCTCTTACAGAGGATGCTGGTTCAGTTCCCAGTACCCACATAGCAGCTAACAGTGGTCCCTAACTCCAATTCTAGGGGTCTGATGCCCTCTTCTGGGCCCTGTTGGGCATTGTACACACGTGGTAGTGCATTTACATACATGCAGGCAAAACACTCATAAAATAAATCAAAAAACAAAAATTAAAAACAAATTGTTTTAAATTTAAGGCCAATTGGAGCAGAGAATTGTGACATATATGTATAAATCCAGCACTGAAAGGCTAAGGCAGGAAGATTGCAAATTGCCTGAGCTACATAGTGAGACCTTGTCTTTATTTTTTATTTAAACATTTTTTGATTTATGTGTGTGTTTTGCCTGCATGTATGTAAGTGCCATCCTGTGGAAGCCAGTAGAGAGGATAGGAATAGGCTCATCTAGAACTGGGATGGTTGTTAGCTGCCATCTCTCCAGACCCTGAGACCCTGTCTTTAAAGAAAAAATAAAATTGGCCTTCCTGTGGTTACCTTTAGTTTCCAACTTGTCTGGATTAAGGGATGCCTAGGATTGGTCAACACTTCTGGGTGTGTCTGGGGCAGGGAGTGTTCCCACAGGAGATTGGTGTGTGGCTCAGTTTGGGCGGAGAAGTCCGGTGTTGAATGTGAACAGCACCGTCCAGGAGGCTGGGGCTCTAGTGGAAAGGAGAAAGAAGTGGAAGTCTCTTGCTGGAGCTCTTCCCAGCCTTATGTCTGCGCTGCTGTCCGCTATGGGCACCATATCCAAGACTCTTCAGCTTTGGTGTGGGGTCTTGCACCCACATCTCAGGGGCAAGGGTGGCACATAGATTTCAGGTCTTTGGCTTGGGGCTACCCTACATCATTGGCTCCTGTCATTCAGACTCCCAGCTTCTTGGACCCAGCTTCTCTCTGTTTCTCCTCCTCTCCAGCGTGTGAAGGGCCACTGTGAGGCTTCTCAGGCTCTGTGGTCTTGTGGCCAGCCTAGTCGGTCCTCTCTTGTGACCATAAATGTTCTGTTACTCCTTCAAGAACCTTGAATATCACATGAGTTTGGGAGAAAGTAGTGTAGGTTATGGAAGCCCTTCCTCAGATGTTCAGACATTGTTAGGCATCTTACATCAGATAACTAAAGAAATAACATAGCCCATAATAATTATAATAGAATCTAGTAGAGGAAATAGTTGAGAAAGGTAAAAATAGTTGCCTTGGGGCTGGAGAGATGGCTCAGGTGTTAAGAGCACTGACTGTTCATGCAAAAGACTCAGGATTAAATCCCAGCACCCACATGGTGGCTAACAACCATCTGAAACTCTAGTTCCAGGAGATGGGTCACCCTCTTCTGTCCTCAAGGGCATTGCATGACACGAGTACACTTGCATACATGCAGGCAATACACACACATAAAAAATTATAATAAAGAATAGTTGTCTTTAGGCACTTGGACAGAAGCTATTGAAATGCTGTTGATTTTTCACTGTGGGTCTTTTTCCCTTATAGTAAGTCTGTATATACGAATTTCTTTAAAAGCTGTGTGAATTACTGTGGGGTTTTTTTTTTTTTTTTTTTGGTCTTTTTGAGACAGGGTCTCCCTGTAGCCCCAGCTGTCCCGGAACTCACTATGTAGACCAGGCTGGCCTTGAACTCATGGAGATCCACCTGCCTCTGCCTCCCGAGTGCTGGGATTAAAGGCATGCACCACCATGCCCCGCTTACTGTTTTTTTATTTTTTTGTTTTTTGATATGCTGAGAATTGAACATAGGGTCTCATATATACTGTGCTAGCATACATGCTCTACAAATGAGCTATAGTCCCACCTCTATGTGAATTACTTTAATAAAATTTTATATGCTGAGGATCAAACTCATGGCTTCATAAAAGCTAAGCAAATATTATGCCACTGAGCCATGCCCCCCCCCGGCTTTCATTATAATATACATATACATATATATATATATATACACATACATACATGCCTCTGTTCTCTCAATTACAAAATTTTACTTTACATGTATTTGTTCAGATGTGGACAGGTGTACATGCCATAGTGCACATGTGCAGCTCAGAAGAAAATTTGGGGGAATCATTCTCTCCTTCCACTGTGTGGGTTCCAAGAATTGAACTCATAGTAATGAGTTGTCAGGTTTGGTGGCCATTGTGTTTACCCTCTGAGCCAGTTTTCAAGCTCCTTTCTCCCAATTTTAAGCCCAAATACAATAATTTATATAGCAAAGATGTTTGCAAATTGTAAAGTGTTATTCATCGTTAAGCAACATTCTGAACATAGGAGTGAGAGGCGAGTTGCCATTTGAAACACAGGCTTACATTTGGGCAGATGACATCATCGTGTCACCACTCTGGCCACAGTAGCTCCATCACAAAACTTGAGTGGCATCTATCAGTAAACAATCACTTCTGAAGCTGGGTATGGTGGCCCATGCCTTTAATCCCAGCACTGGGAGACAGGCATATCTCTGAGTTCAAGGCCAGCCTGGTCTACATAGCGAGTTCCAGGACAGCTGGGGCTACAGGGAGACCCTGTCTCAAAAACAACAAAAAACAAACAAAAAAACCACTTCTACTTGTGTGTGGGGGTCACCTGTGGGTTTGCCGATCTAAGTCAAGCACATCTGGTTTCCCTTGGGCTTGTGGTATGAGTGAGCAGGATGGCTGTGGTTTGGCTCTGATGGCTGCAGTTATGTATTGAGAGGTCAGCTGTCTTATCTTCCTATAGCAGTCTACCTTGGGCTTGTTTTCATGGCAGAGGCAGCAGTCCATAGTAGACAGGAACAACACCTCCATTATGGTTTGGTTGTGGTGTGAGTGTGTCCCTAAAAGGTCTGTGTGCTGGAAGCTTGGAGCAGTGTGGCTGTGTTGAGGTGGTGGGTCTTTAATAAGAAGAGTCTAGTAGAAAGCAATTAGGTCATGAGAGCTGTTGGGGTGAATCAGCTCTCAAGAGAGTACTTGTTTTTTAAAAAAATATTTTATTTAATTAATTAATTTATTTATTTATTTTGGTCTTTTGGAGACAGGGTCTCCCTGTAGCCCCAGCAGTCCTAGAACTCACTATGTAGACCAGGCTAGCCTTAAACTCACAGAGATCTGCCTGCCTCTGCCTCCCGAGTGCTGGGATTAAAGGCGTGTACTACCACACCTGGCTTATTATTTTTATTTTATGTGTGTGTATTTGCCTGCATGTGTGTACGTGCACCCGTGTCATGCAGTGCCCATGGAGGACAGAAGAGGCTGTCAGATCCCCTGGAACTGGAGTTACGGACAGTTGTTAGCTGCCGTGTGGGTGCTGGGATTCGAACCCAGGTCTTCTGCAAGAATATTCAGTGTTCTTGGGGCTAGAGAGATGGCTCAGGGGTTAAGAGCACCGACTGCTCTTGCAGAGGACTGGGTTCAGTTCCCAACACCCACACGGTGGCTACAAACCATCCTTAACTCCAGTTCCAGGGAAATCCAAAGCCCTCTTTTGACCGCCACAGCATTGCACAACACAGGTGCACTCACATACATGCAGGCAATACATTCACACATAAAATAAAAATAATAAAAGTTTTTTAAAAAGAGTATTCAGTGTTCTTAATGGCTGAGCCATCTTTCTAGCCCCTTTTGTTCTTTTTGAGACAGGGTCTCCCTGTAGCCCCAGCTGGCCTGGGACTCACATAGATTGGCCTAGAGTGCTGGGATTAAAGGCGTGCGCCACCTCGCCCCAGTGAGAGTAGTTGTTTTAAAGTAAGCCGGCCCCACAGGCCTGAAGCCCTTCTACACTTGTCTGGTTCCTTTTCTTTCTCTCCACTGTGCTGTGATGGAACTGGTATGCTGGTACCATGCTCTTAGGCATCCAGAATCTGTTTTCTTTGGTTGTACCCAGACTTAGCCAGGCATGGTGGCACCCACGTGTAATCCCAGGACTTGGAATGTGAAGGCAGGGCGATTAGGAGTGCAAGGTTATCCTGTGCTACATATCCAGTTTGAGGCTAGCCTGAGCTACATGAGACCCTGTCTCAGTCTCCTCCTGCATCCACCTCCCAAGTGCTAGGATTACAGACATGCATCACCAGACCATGCTCTGGCCTTATCTGTTTTACTACAGCAACAGAAAACATCTCTATCGTAGCCTCTAAGAGCTAGGCGCAGGACTGGCATACTGTCTTTTCTGCCATAGTCTGTTGGGCAAAGCAAGTATTAAGAGAACAGAAAAGTGTGTTTCATTCCTTTATGGTAGGAACTACACATTTATATAGGAAAAGGGGATGGCAAAATGAAGCCAGAGCACAGGAGAGATGGCTCAGCAGTTAAGAGCACTGGCTGTTCTTGTGGAGGACCCAGGTTCGCTTCCCAGAACCCTCATGGTAGCTAACAACCGTCCATAACTCAAGTTCCAGGGGATCTAGCTCCATCTTCTGGCCTTTGTGGGCACTTCATGGTATGGGTGCATTTACACACGTGGGCAGTACACTAATATGCATAAAATAAAAATAAAATATTTAAAAAATAAATAAGCCAGGTGTGGTGGCACACACCTTTAATCCCAGCACTCGGGAGACAGATCTCTGTGAGTTTAAGCCCAGCCTAGTCTACATATTTCTAGGCCCGCTGGAGCTACAGAGAGACCCTGTCTCAAAAAACCAAAGTAAATAAATATTTGAAAAAAGGAAAAAGAAGCCAGTTTTGCAGTTCATCTTGATCATTGAAGCCAATTTTTTTTTTTTTTGGTCTTTTTTAGACAGGGTCTCCCTGTAGCCCCAGCTGTCTTGGATTCACCATGGAGACCAGGCTGGTCTCTAACTCACAGAGATCCACCTGCCTCTGCCTGAATTAAAGGTGTGAGCCACCATGCCTGGCCTTGAAGCCACATATTTTTATCTTATCTGTTTGGAATGAGAAGATAAAACAATGCCTGAAGACCTGTAACCGAGCTTATATTCCTTTTCCTTTGCAGACAAGAAGGCTGGTGTCAGAGGGTTCCTTTTAGATCAACAACTTCAGATTCTCACCATGAATAAATCAGAGAAGACCGAAGTGGTTCTCCTTGCTTGCGGTTCTTTTAATCCAATCACCAACATGCACCTTAGGCTGTTTGAGCTGGCCAAGGACTACATGAATGGAACAGGTAAAAACAGCAAAAGCAGCTTAAGACCAGAGAACCACTTGACTATGTGTGTTCCAGTATGAACACTAGATCAGCTGGGCACAAGCTTGTCCTGTCTCCTTGCACAGGGATTTAGCCAAAGGTTAGTGGGCCTGGTGAGGTGGCTCAGCGGGTGAAAGCACTAGCTCTATAGAAGGAAGCAGAAAACTGAGTAGCATAAGGAACAGAGCAGAGGGGGATGCTCAGTCAGTAAAGTGCTGCAAGCATGAAGACCTGGGGTCCATCCCCAGAATCCACGTAAAACAGCTGAGTGTGAGCTCCAAATCCTAAGGCTAGGGAAGCGGAGACAGGAGGTTCCCTGGAGCTCTCTGCCAACCAGCCCAGCTGATCACTAAGCCCCAGGTCCCAGTGAGAAACCCTGTCTCTAAAAGCAAAGTAGACAGTTCCTGAGGACCTCCACAGGCATGTGCTCACATGTACATGTGTACCCGCACATGCATGTGCATGCTCCCACACATAAATACACACTAAGAAAGTGACAACACAGTAAGCATTTACTGCTTAGAAGTAAAGCCCCATCTAGCTTGACTATTCTTTTTTTTTTTTTTTTTGGCTTATTTATTTATTTGGTCTTATTGAGACAGGGTCTCCCTGTAGTCCCAGCTGGCCTAGAACTCACAGAGATCCACCAGCCTCTGCCTCCTGAGTGCTGGGATTAAAGGTGTAGGCCACACGCCTGGCTTGTTTTTGTTTTTGAGATAAGGTCTTACTATGCAGGCCTGGCTGAACTGGAACTTGTTATGTAGACCAAACTGGCATCAAACACATGGAGATCACGTCTAGCTCCTGTCTTTTTTTCTGTGATTTTTACATACAAATATTTATATGCACACACACAGTTTTTCGTTGTTGCCTAACTGATCATGTAGTGTGCTGATAGGTGGATGCTAAATGTTGCTAATAACCAGGCAACTTAAATGAATATATATATACATATATATATGGGTTTCCCTTCACATTGACAAGAATTCTAAAACTTGATATGTCAAAGTGTCTAGATGAGGTTAGATGGGTTGTTGCAAATTCTCTAGGTGACCAGTACAAATTGATTAAGGCTTTTTACAAGGGGATTTGGCAGTTGTAACCAGAAGTTAGACTAAACCATGAGGGGAATGAGGAGTTAGTGTCGGGGGGGGGGGCGGCACAGGGTTTTAGTTGTAGAGGCTGAAAAGTTCTGGCTATAGATGGGGTGATGATTGCATAACAGTGTGTACGTGCTTAATACAGCAGAACTGTACATTTAAAATGGTTAAAATGATAATGTTTATTGGAGACAGTGTCTCCCTATAGCCCTAGCCGGCCTTCAACTTTCTATATAGTCCAATCGGGCCTTGATCGCACAGAAGTCCACCCACCACTGCCTGTGGAGTGCTGGGACTAACAGCTGCCTAAAAAAATAGATTTTGTTATGTATATTTTATCAATCAGTTAGTGAACTTGAGTTTGTGTTTACTAAGACTGTAAAATAATAGTGATCATAATGTTTCCTGTTGATAAAATGTAATTTGTTATACTTATTATCAAATCTGACTCTTTTTCCAGGAAAATACAGAGTTATCAAAGGCATAATTTCTCCCGTCGGGGATGCATACAAGAAGAAAGGACTCATCCCTGCTCACCACCGAATTGTCATGGCAGAACTTGCCACCAAGAATTCACACTGGGTGGAAGTAGACACGTGGGAAAGTCTTCAGAAGGAGTGGGTAGAGACCGCGAAGGTGCTCAGGTAATCACAGTATAAGCCACATCATGGGTTCTGGGGAAGTAGGAGGAGGCATTCCTGTTTTCAGTACTGCCTGCTCTGCAAAAGCTGTTACCAGCCCCAAATAAAGAAAGCCCTCCTGGTCTCTCTCCCTAAGGAAGAGGGGCAGACACATTGCTCAAGGATATTTCCATTGTCTGTCTTCTAAGGTGTTGAAGAGGGCGTGGGCCTACACCTAAAAGATAAAGTGATCCCATAGCCTGGAGCACTTAGGCCATGCCTCCCCTGCAGCTCCCTCAGGGACAGAGGCAAAGCTGTCTGTGCTGTGACCTTAAGCTCTGTTTCTGGATCCTGGCTGCTCCTTGTCACTTACACTGTTAAATTAAATCATGTGACGTAAAGCTTCCTACCAGCCCCTCAAAACTTACAAAAGACTGAAATTTCCTTTGTTCTTAGAATTTGCTCAGGGAGGGCCAGGGCTTGTAGAGTGTTTGCCTACCATTCATATGGCCCTGAGTTTAATCCCCATCACTGAAAAAAAGGAGAAAAAAAAATAACATTTTTGGGGGCTGGAGAGATGGCTCAGTGTTTAAGAACACTGGTTGTTCTTGCAGAAGACCCGCGTTCGAATCCCACATAACAGCTAACAACTGTCCATAACTCCAGTCCCAGGGGATCTGACAGCCTCTTCTGACCCCCTCGGACATGTTGCATGACATGGGTACGCTTACCTACATGCAGGCAATACATGCATACACATAAAATAAAAAGAATAAATAAAAAAAAAAAAAAAAAAAAAAAAGAATTTGCTCAGGGAGGTGCCCTTGGCTGCTCTCTGAAGAGGCCTCCCTGCCCTTCCCCCCAGCCCTCTTGTGGCAGCTGGCTCTCTGTCTGCCTCTCTTATTTTTATTTTATGTGTTTGAGTGTTGTGCCTACACATATGTAGGTGTACCCTTGTACAGTGCCTGTGGAGGTCAGAACAGAGCATCAGATCCCCTGGAACTGGAGTTATGGAGGTTGTTAGCCGCCATGTGGGTGCTGGGAATTGAACGCAAGAGCAGTCAGTGCTCTTAACTGGTGAACCATCTCCCCAGTCCCTTATTCTCACTCCAGATGAATCTCTTCAGGTTTAAAGGGAAACCTCTCCTTCCCTTTAACATCCCATCATGTGTAGTTCTCTGTTTGTTTCTGTCTAATGTTCTCCTTCCCACCTCAAGGCCTGATGATGGCCTCAAGGTCCTTGCTCCTAATAAACTACATTTCTTCTGAAGGGAATTGGGTGTCAGCTTCCTTTCTGGACTGTCATAGGTTTGTTTGTTTGGGGTTTTGTTTGTTTTATTATTTTATGTGTATGAGTGTATTGCCTACATGTATGTGACTGCACCCATGTTGTGCAATGCCTGGGAGGTCAGAATAAAGCTTCGGATTCCCCTGGAACTGGAGTTAAAGACAGTTCATAGCCACCATGTGGGTGCTGGGAATCGATCCCGGGTCCTTTGCAAGAGCAGCCAGTGCTCTTAACCACTGAGCCATCTCTCCAGCCCCTGTTTATTTTTTTAAAATCATTATTTTATTATTATGTTTAACAAGGAGGCACTCCAGACCTCCATGCTCCAACCTTTGAAACCAGTTCAGTCAAGAAAGTAGTATCACTGGGTGTGGTGCCACACACCTTCTGATCCCATCACTTGGGAGGCAGAGGCAGACGGATCTCTGTGAGTTTGAGGCGAGCCTGGTCTACATAGTGAGTTCCAGGTCAGCTGGAGCTAAAGGGAGACCCTGTCTCAAAAACAAAACAAAACAAAAAAAACCCAAACAAAACAGTAATGTCAAACCCTTATATTAGCTTGAAATTTCTGAAAACCTCTTTCTAATATCTGCTCTAGAGTTCTGAACCTTGTAGTTACTGATCGAATAAGAGAGCATTCAGAGTAGGACACTCTGGGTACTGTGAGTGCGGTGGGTTTAGATGCCGAGGCCCATATGTTGAAGGAGCTAGAGGAGTGGGATCAGGTTGTTAGCCGCCATATAATAGCTATACCACTCTATAATCAGAGGCCAGGACCTGATTCTGTTCTGCTGCCCTCCACTGCTACTAACTGCTGCCAACTGCAGGCACTGGGCCTGAGCTGTGAGCTGTGGAGTGAGGTCAGGCTCTGTGGGTTCCAGTCTTACCTTTCCTTCCCTAGCACCATGGTAACTTTATCCTCTGCACATTCTGTGCGAAATGGGACTAATTGCATAAAGAACCCAGAGTTGGGTCCACAGGCCCATAGTACTGGGGTAGATTTGCACTGGTGTAAGGCAGTGGGCATCTGCTACCAGCCCAGACTGAAGCCTTGCCAGATTCCTACAGTGCCCTGTAAGCCTCAGGTATTCCTGTCCCTGTCCCAACAATGTGGTTCTTCATTACTAGATCAAGCCATGGTCCTCAGTGGTCAAGGGTGTGGGCTTTGGACCAGGCAGTGGGGTTTAAATCCTGGCTCTGCTGTACTTGGCTAAAACACCTTGGGCACGTTAATCAGCTCCTCTCTAACAGGGGTAACAAACACTTCTGATAGGAAAGTTGCTTTATATTAGGCAAACGTTCACTTAGTTGAGCTGTTCCTGAACGTTTCCCAGGTTCCAGGGCTAGAGGTGGAGGTGCAACTTGAAGTCTCCATATCATATCCTCCCCCCACCGCCGTGGGGTAATGCTACTTAGGGTACTCGGCACTGAGAAGATTCAGTCAGACAATCCATGTGGAGAAACAGCTAATGTTAACTCTTGTTACTGTAACTCACACAGACCTTAGAAGAGTGACAACCACTGTTGTGCTCCCAGGATTTTCCTTCTACTAGGCATGCTAACTGGGGGAGTGGCTGGTGGTAATGGGTGGCAAAGCATTTTGAATAGCACCCTGCCTTAACATGGGGTCACAAACTCCTAGGCATATCCAGAGGGACAGTACTTCAGTGGAGCACCGTGATGATGAAGAATGTTCTTTCATGTTGTCGTTTTGTAGACACCACCAGGAGAAGCTGGAGACTGGCCATTGTGATCACCCCCAAAACTCTTCTGCTCTGGAAAGGCCTGGTCGGAAGAGGAAGTGGGCAGAGCAGAGACAGGATTCTAGTCCAAAGAAGCCCCTGGAGCCCAACCCAAAAGGTGTGTGATACTTTCCCAGGATGCCCAAGGGCTGCTTCGAATCTACAGTACAGCACCCTTATGCTGTTCTGTTTCATTTTAATTAATTAATTTGTCTTTTTTGAGACAGGATCTCCCTGTAGCCTCAGCTGGCCTGGAACTCACTATGTAGACCAGGCTGGCCTTGAACTCACAGAGATCCGCCTGCCTCTGCGCCACCACACCCGGCTGTTTTTATTTCTTATTCCAGACCTGTTGGGCTCCTGGAAGATTCCCTTTGCTGGTTTCATGAAGGAAGGAGAGGAGAGTAAAAGGCACACAGATCTACTTCTCCTGTGACGCTCTTTAGCTTTTACAGTGTTCTGGATCTGTTTGAGGTGCAAGGGCGCACATATCACACACAGTCGGTTAATGCATGTGGTTATTAAGATCCAAACCCTGAAACTGCCTGGTTCTTCCTCCTAGGTGTGCCCAGGGTGAAGTTGTTGTGTGGGGCAGACTTCTTGGAGTCCTTCGGTGTCCCCAACTTGTGGAAGAATGAGGACATCATACAAATCGTGGCAGACTATGGGCTCATTTGTGTCACTCGGACTGGCAGTGATGCTCAGAAGTTCATCTACGAGTCCGATGTGCTGTGGAAACATCAGAGCAACATCCACCTGGTGAACGAGTGGATCACCAATGACATCTCGTCCACGAAGATCCGCAGAGCCCTCAGAAGGGGCCAGAGCATCCGCTACTTGGTCCCAGATCTTGTCCGAGAGTATATTGAAAAGCATAATTTGTACAGCTCTGAGAGCGAAGACAGGAACGTGGGGGTTATCCTGGCTCCTCTGCAGAGGAATGTTGCAGAAGCAAAGCACAGCAGTTCCACAGTGTGAGCGCTGGCTGCTTTTTTGAAGATTTGAAACACCCTGGTGTCAGTAAATCAGGGAAGGAATTGTGATCCTTTTTCATAAACTAAAGTTTAAGGGTTTGGCAAAAATCAACAGGGAATTAAAATCAAATCTGTTTTTAATCATAGTTGCTAAAATTAATGTTTTAAATAAGACCATATTTTTAAAGAATGTAATTCCCTTTATCTTTAAGATAACAGCTCACTAAAACAAGAAGAAATTTCAATGATGCTGACTTTAAATAAGTAAAAAAGGACATAATGGCTCTACTATGCAAGAGAAGCAAATTGCGAAAAGCCAAAATCCACTCAAAATCCTTCTGTTAGCCAGGCTCAGTGATGCATGCCTATAAACCTGGCTACTCTAGGAACTGAGGCAGGAGGATCACTTTGGGCCCAAGCATTTGAGACCAGCCAGAAGAACCTAGATTCTCCCCAAAACAAAATAAAACAAAATCCTAGTTTTAGTTGTAAAGAAAACTGACTTTTTATTCATGCCTATTGCCAGGTGTCTTCATCCAGGAGAGATAAAGGAATTCTTTAAATGTGACCTTGGCTATGGATGTAGCTAGGTTAGTAGAGCCAGCACCACATAAACTGGGCACGGTGGTACACACCTATAATTCACACACTTGGGAGGTAGAGGCGGGAGGATCAGAAGTTCAAGGTCATCATTGACTACATAGCCAGTTTGAGGCCAGCCTGGGGTTCTTGAGACTCTGTCTCATTCAAAAATAAATAATCTTGTAAAACGCACCAGTGATCACTCATCATCTTTTTAGTTGGGGACAACTTTAGAGGTAATGTGGCTTCAAACAGAGCCACAAAGAATGAAGGGTCTCATTTAAGGATTTTATAAGTCTGATTGTTCCTCGCCTTTATTTATAGCATTATAATTGAAAACTGAATGGAGACCCTTAAGAACAGGAGGAATGGGCTGGGTCCACCCTAACAACTCCAGCCCTTAACTTTGGGCCCTGGTGAATGTCTCATGAAAGAAATCTCCATGCTCTGGGTCTAAAACTGTCAAGTGTCTGAAGAGCCTGTGGTCTCTGTCCCATTGCCCTATTTGTCTGCGCTTTTTGAATCTTTGCAGAGAAAGGGTCTTTTGCCTTAAACTTTTTCTGTTTTGGGTCCTGTGACATAATAATTGAACTTATAACTTTTTGTTAAAACATAAGCTTATTATCTGGTTTGTGGGAATTTACTACCATGTGTTGGTAAAACAGAGACCAGAGATAGTTTTTTATGATTTATGAAAATTGTCCTGCAGTGGAGACAAAGTTAAATTCCTAAGCCGGACATGGTGGCACACACTTGTAATCCCAGCTAGTTAACAGAGGCAGGAAGATCATGAGTTCAAGGTCGTCCTCGGCTACAGTGAGGCCAACCTGGGCTACGTGAGACTGTCTCAAAAACAACAACAAAAGAGTTAAATTGCTATTGAAACTAATGAGAATAGGATAATTTACCGTTTTAAAATTTGTGTTTTATACTTTCAAAAAGAAGAGTTTATAATTCTACAGAAGAAAAATAATGGTGCAGTTGTCTCAGTCAGATCTGAATCTGACAGTTGGAAATAAGGAAAACTGTTAACTTATTCTTACCAAAGCCATCAAGTCAGGCTGTCCAAGAGAGAGTTTCAAAGCCTGGCACCCATAGGTTTTGATATCTACCAAATGAATGCTTGGGTCAAATCTCAGATCAAAGAGATAGGAATTTTTTTTTCATTAGCCTTTTGGAACTTAAGAGTTGAGGCAGGAATGTACAATAATGATTCAGTCAAGCAGAGCCATCAAACAACACTGATGATCTGGAAAGCACACCTGGTTCATCTGTAAGAAAGTTCTAATGCTGGAACCTTCCCTCAGACTGCAGTGCCTTCCTGCTTCAAAGCGTGACCTCAGGACCCACTGGCTAAGGCATGTGGGGACCCTCATTCCTGTTGTTAAGGAAAGAATCTTATGGTTGCACTTTTTATGAATCATCATGGAGTTACAATTGTGCCTTCCTTTAGGGGAAGAGAATGTCGTCGTTTATCCCTTGTCACATCTTTCTCATGATTTGCTTTTACAATGTGAACTTAGAGTTTAAGAAATGTGTGAGGCTTTTGTTTTGTGTGTTGAATCCTTCTGTTTGTTTGTTGGTTGGTTGGTCTTTTTGAAGCAGGGTCTCCCTGCAGCCCCAGCTGGCTGGAACTCACTATGTAGACCAGGCTGGCCTTGAACTCACAGAGATCCGCCTGCCTCTACCTCCCGAGTGCTGGGACATTGAATTCTTTATCCCACACATTGTGTGACTTGAGTACAGCACATGAACTTGGCAACACAATTCCTTTACCAGCGTCCTCATTCGGAAGAACTTAGAATATAGCGCCTTTGGAGCAGTTCCCCTGGTGATAAGCTAGGAGGGATGATGGAGGGATGACGGAGCTGGTCTCCTCATGCCAGAGGATGCAGCTTCTTCCTTGCACCCTGTGGTGGTTTGAATGAAAATGTCCCCCATAGGCTCCAAGTATTTGGAAATTTTGTCCCCAGATGATGGTGCTGTTTTGGATGGGCTTAGAGAATTCTTAAGCCTTGCCAGATTTCCAGTTGCTCTCTTGCTTCCTGTGCCTGCGTGATAATGTGAGAGCTTAGCTCCTACTCCAGCCACCTCCAGCCACCATGCCTCCCTGCCATGACGGACTGTAATTCCCCTGGAACCGTAAGCTCAAAATAAACTCTTCCTTCTATAAATGGCTTTGGTCAGTGTTTCTATCACAGCAACAGAAAAGTGACTAATGCACCCCCGTTGGATTCCCCCTTGGTCAGTAGACATGGTATCAGGAAGGCTGTTATCTTACCGCAACCGCAGCTCGCTGATTTGTTTCTCTGGGAGCCTGGAGGTGGTTGTATCAGGAAATGGGCTCCTCTGACCTTTGTTGCAGGGTGCCATGGGAAGTCCATTTCTCTGACATTCTCAGGATTACTTCCAAAGACCTCGATCCAAATTGTCTACCATGACAGCCACTCAACAGTGCCCATCTCAGAGGCTGAATGAACCTCATTTACCACTAGTGTTATTTGAACTTCCCATGACCAAAACGTACTGAGCACTTACTGTATGCTGGGTCTGAGTTTGTGTGCCTTCTATCATGAAGAAACTGAGTGCAGTTAGGGGCTGGTGTGAACACTGACCCAAGTGGTACTGAGCCTGAGCAGTGTGCCTTCAGAGCCTGTATTCTAACCTCTCCTTGTGTGAGATACTACTTTTCAAAGAATGAAAGTTTATCCAAATCTTAAAGTTGTCATCTACTCTAATTGGACACATCAAAATAAAATTTTGAATAGTATGAGAGTCCGCTGGAGATGTCTGATGTGTTCCGTGCACACAGAAGGACTGAACGTGACCAGTGTTAGCAGCTCCTTGGAACTAGGACAATACATTTCAGTTAGAGGGAAGGGAAGTTGTGTGTGTGTGTGTGTGTGTGTGTGTGTGTGTGTGTGTGTGTGTGTGTGTGTTGAACACAAACTCTGTCATTGTACCATACTCTCACCCCGCCCTATTAAACAGCCATCTGAAACAGAGTCCTATGTAGCTCAAGCTGGCTTTGACCTGATTCTCCCACTTCCCACTTCCCAAGTACGGGTTTTACAGGCTTGTGCCACCACACCCAGCATTTGTTTCTCTCTAGGTTCTGGAGATTGAACTGAGGACTTCATGGATGCTAGGCAAGTGCTCTACTAATGAGCCTCAGACATTTGGCTTTTTTGTTTGATTATTTATTTATAGACAGAGTCTTACTAATCTACCTAGGCTGCCCTTGAATTTAATCTATAACCCAAGCCTTTAACTCTGAGTCCTTCTGCCTCATTTCTGAGCAGCTGGGACTACCGGTTCAGGCCTGCACTACCACTTGCAGCTCTTATAATTCAATAAAAAGAGAAAGAGAGGAGGAAAGGGGAGGGAGGGGCGGAGGGAGCCCAGGTACTGCAGATGCTTGTGAACCAGTGTCCATGTATGTCAGTAAACTAGCACCCCCTCAGCACCCCTTTCTGTGAAATTGTATGGTCTCTGAGGTCTCTCTCAGTTTTAAATTATTGCCAACTTCGTGGAGAATTGTCACCCCTCTCTGCCAGACCTCTCCCACCAAGCTGCCAGCAGTGGTGTGAGTTGAAGTTTCTTTTTTTAAAAAGAAAAATATTATGTGTATGAGTGTATTGTATGTAAGTGCACCTGTGTCTTGCAGTGCCCAAGGAGGTCAGAAGAGGGCGTTGGATCCCCTGGAACTGGAGTCACAGACAGCTGTTAGCTGCCACGTGGGTGCTGGGAATCAAACCTGGGTTTTCTGCAAGAGCAACCAGTGGTCTTAACCGCTGATCCATCTCTCTAGCCCCGAGGAGAAGATTCTTGGATTTTGGAGGCATCAGTCAGGAATTTTCCAGAACTCTAATAAAGGTTTTATAATATGGATGTATATTGTGCCTGAGCCCTGGAAGCCAGGAAACAGGAAGGACAGTGTTTCAGGAAGCAGGAAGAGCTCCTTACACTAAAAGTCGTTTGCTGAGCTGGAATTTTAGGAGTCTGGGTTTGGCTTGCCTTTCTTGTAACTGGCAACCTAAGGGAAGGAATGCAGAAGGACATGTCCCGGGAATTCCCCTCAAGAGCACCCAAAGGAACATAGGGTGGGACGTGCTAGCACCTGAGGAAGGAGGCTTGGAGGGGCCAGATAAGCTTTGGCTGGTTGCCATGGTGTCTGGTACATCCTGGGGGTTTTTGACAACTTGCAGAAACAACCTTCCTCTTGTGCCTTTTTTTTCCTTTTTTAAATATTTTATTATTTTTATTTTATGTGTACGAGTGTATTGCCTGCACGTATGTAAGTGCACTCATGTCGTGCAATGCCACAGAGGTCAGAAGAGGGCTTTGGATTCCCCTGGAACTGGAGTTAGGACAGTTGTTAGCTGCCATGTGGGTGCTGGGGTTCGAACCTAGGTCTTCTGCAAGAACCCGCTGAGCCATGTCTCCAGCCCTCACGTGCCTTTTCATACGCCTGCCACCACCTCAGTTTCAAAACCACTATTTCTGCCTCATTTGTCTTATCAGGTCTAAGTGACTTATAGTGAACTGTGCTTCCCAAAGCAAGATAAACTGTCTAGTAAGTTTACCAAACCAGTGGGAAGCTTAGCAGTTATCCTGAAAAAATGGGGAACTTCAAACATACACAAAGCCACTGGTAATAGTCTAATGAACCCCTAAATAACCAGCACCCAACTTCAGTCGACACTGTGCCAAGCATGCTGCCCAACTGACCCATCATTTATTTCCAGTGGCTGTTTGACAGTTGCTTGAGACAAGGTCTTAATGTAATCTAGGCTGGCCTGGAACTCAAAATCTTCCTGCCTTAGTCTCCAGAGTCCTGGGATTACAGGTATGGCCCAGGCCATGCCTGGCTTTCTCTTGGCCTCCCACCTTCAATCCCAGC